TTTGTTTCTCCCAACACGTCAAAACCCAGTACCGTAGGTGGACGAATCATTCAAACCCTTGCAGACTTCACCCCCCTACCCCCCATAGTTCAATGTTGGCCTGTTGGTGAAGCAGGTTGGCTTGAGTGGACAAATCAAATCAAACCCCTGACAACAAAACATCTTTTCACTGAGACAACATTGAAGTCGGGGGTGCGGGGGTGGTGGTCTGCTATGGTGGTTTAGGGTTTGATTAATTTGTCCATCTACTGTAGGAACAAGAAGCTATCAGGAACAAGAAACTACTAGGAACAAGTGCACCGCTACTAGTAACAAGTGCCTTACTAGTAGTAACAGTAACAAGAAGCTACGAGTAAATCAATCCAATCCAAACCAGCCCCTGAGGCCGAGGTCACGATGCGCCCCACGGGCCCCACAGCTTTTCGCAGCTTTTGCAGATGGCTCGATCAATGTGCCCCGGAAGTTGACGTGTGGACTTCGGTGGAGGCCATCGCCAATAAGAAACTACTAGTAACAGGTGCATCGCTAGTAGTAACAAGAAGCTACTAGTAACAAGTCGACATGGCACGGTTTTGTGACCATTTTTCTTATGTGGTCTCCTTCCACCAGTCTTTTGGTCTTCTCTCACCGCTTCTGCGTTGGCCACACGTTGCTTCTGTTTGGTCATTTGATGCATTCACGATGTGCAAGACAAGGTACAGGGAAAAACTCTTTCACGATTCCCAGCAGCTTTTGCTGTCGGATGCGGCTCGTGAGCTGCTGGGGGATGCTGAGAACAACGTCTTGGGCGAGGACGGGACCTTTCTCAGCCTTTTGGGTTGCTATCTCCCTGGCCTACTAGGAACAAAAGCTACTAGGAAAAAAATCACCTGATTAGGTGGCGGCCATAGCAAGTAGGTTGGAGGCCATCGCTCCTAGTAACAAGAAGCTACTAGGTGGAGACCATCGCTATTGGTTTGGAGGCCAAGTAGGTTGGAGTTGAACGAGAACAGGGCAAATGTTTTCTGGACAAGGATAGCTACCTACCAAGGACTTGAAACAAAGGCATTTAGAAACGAGAAGGTGCTCAACAGGCGGGCTGAAATTATTACCACGAACTTATAGAAAGGCCGCCATCATTGGCATACTGCGACGGTCTTGATTCCGCGGCTGGGATTCATACATTTCTTGAAGTGCCAGGAGGCCCCGCATGCCACATATGACTGCACACACAAGCACAGGGCAGGGAGTGGCTTGTGCCATAGCAGCATGCTGGTGAACAAATCGGGCATGCAAAGATAGCGAGGTCCAGTTCTGTCAAGGGCCGGGCCTTCGGTCCGATGTGGACACATCTGAGGCGCCGGGCTGCATGGGAGCGCGCACAGGACAAAAGGTCCTAGTAGCTTCTTGTTACTACTAGTAAGGCACTTGTTACTACTAGCGTGGCACTTGTTACTAGTAGCTTCCTTCTGATAGGAAAGGCGTGTTATCACAGCGAATGTCGAAAGGCGCACGCATGTGAGAGTGCACGCGTGAGTGTGCACATGAGGACACACGTGGGTCAGAGCGCAGGTTGTTTTAATCGGTTTAGCATCGCTACTAGGAACAAAGGACGCTACTAGCAGCAGGTTCAAGTGCTGCGCCACAAAATCAACACTTCGAGCTTCGCATCGCGCAGTGCCGCCGCCCTCATTCCTGCAGCGCGCCAGTGATCACCAGGTAACGGCCCAAGAAAACCCAACGTGAGAGGGGTCACCTCTGCAAGTGTTACTAGTAGCTTCTTGTTCCTAGTAGTAAGGCCAGGAGCCCCTAGTAGCGTCCTTGCTCCTAGTAGCGATGCCAGGAGCCCCTAGTAGCTTCTTGTTCCGGATCGGCTGCCGCCAGCCTGTCTGAAAAATTTTTTGGAAAGGACTTCTTCAGAGTCAAGTGTCACAAACTCAACAAAACCAGAAGGGTGACCAAGTTGCAGGCTGCCAAACAGAAAACGCTGGGTCATTGCCTAATTGGCCGCTTCCTCAAACAAAGTTTTCAGCTTTGTAATGTGCGCAGCTGCAGTGGTAGACCAGACAAGGTTTCCTTGCTCCCATGTTTTTATGCAACACCACACGTGTGCAAATTGGACAACTGGGAAGGGCACCTGGTTTGATTGCAGTATGAGCGGGGGACAGCGCTTGAGTATCCCAGACATCCTTGTTCAGAGCTTATGTTTTGCCACTCCTCTACTTTTGCGGCACTTGTAGACAACTGCAGGCTGCCATAAGCTCCACCAAAGCGGTTCCGAGAACACTAAAAGTCGTTCTTGGCAAGAATCCGGTGGCTTGAGCGAAGCTCCAGCTCTTCATGCATATCTTTGCAACTAGTAGCTAAGAAGTTACTAGGCCCAGGCCATCGCTAACAAAAAGCCTGCAAGGAGCTACTAGGAAAAAACAGCTATTCCATTCGCTTCCCGGGGCCGCACTTGTGATGTCCGTGCAGTCGTGGATGCAGCAGCAGTTGGCGGTGATGCGCACCAAGCAGGCCCAAGTTGAGTGATGAGCAAGTCGGTTGACAGCGTACTGAAGGGGAGAACGGGTGTGTGTGACCACCCTGGAATCACGAGTATGTGTGGGGGGTGTTCTATTTGTGATGCGCATGGGGCCCTTTGAGCATGGCTTGATGTTGGTTCTGCCGCCGCTTTTTCATTTGTGAGTCAAGACGTCCGGCGAACCAACGCGATTTCATTTTGAGCTGCTAGCTTTCACCTTGGCCAACCTGGCTTTCCCACACGTGTTCCAGCCAGACGAGACACGCCGCATGCAGTGAAGGAGAAGGAACTCCAAGCAGTTGTAGATGTCTGTGTGACGCGCTGTGCGCCAATAACGTTCAAAGACACTTCGCTTGGTGGAAGCTGTGTGATTACAGCGCATCACATATGGCTCCAGCCGTCACAGGAAAAGGATGGTCATGAGGTGAACTGTCGTGTAAGCCAGGACATTCATGGCAGCTGCATGGTGAGTAAGTGCAAGGGGGAAATGAAGGAGGGGTAAGGCCTGCTAGGGGCACGGTTACTGCCGGTGGCAGTGGCTGGTGTAGGGCGCGGGCTATGGAGGCGTGCAGGATATCTATCATGTGGCCTGGCCTCCAGAAATTGAATGCAACTCTCCACTTCCAAAACGCGATGCGCAAGCTAATGCCGCTTTACGCAGGAGGGTGGCGCCAGCTCGGCGGATGGACGTGACTTGCTCTCACCACATGAGAAGGGCGTGAGCCTGCTCACTGAGGAGTTTGAGGTGCACCCCCTGCTGCTCAGCAAGCCGCGTCGTCACCATGTCACGCTCGCCCCTCTTCCCACACTACGTCAGTTCGGCCACGAAAGGGCCCTACACTGGTGCAGCTTTCTCAATGCCCTTCGGGCTTCATCAGATCCTGCGCCGATCGTGTTGACGCTCACAGTACATCCCGTTCTTTTGGCAGCCATGTGCCATGACCAGTGGAAGTGGAATGGTGAACAGAAGTGCATAGTCCTCATGGCCTTTTCAACTCAACAGCGGGCCCATCATAGGGGTCATTGGAGCGGGGACGCGCTTCAACCTTAGGAGGTGAAGAGCAGGGCCCTGTGCGTTTCGTTGCCGTTCGGCGGAGAAGGGGCTTAGTACTTGTATAGAGAGCACGCCGTTGGGCGTAGGCCACATATCTGGACAATATACGGCTATCCGTCACACGCGCGAGGTGGTGGGTCAATGGCCGGTCAGTTGTGGTCGGAGCCGCGGAGCGCTGTGACGCGAGGTGGATGGCGAAGTGAACGCACTTGTTCATGAGCCAAATTCCCCATGTGCTCCGCCTTCTCCCTGAACACTTTGGAAGCCTACAATGAACTTAGGTTGCTTCTTGTGGTGATTCAAATCATGGCCAGACCCAGCACTGATTTGCTCTTGTCACTTGGCCCGGCCCTTTGGCCACCAACTTGGTTTGCGCGCCGGTAATTGTGGATCGTGTTCTTCCTTTCTCGGCCTGTCCTACTAACATGTGTCTTTGGTGTAGTGCCTCCAGCTTAGACGTTCTCCTTCTTCACCTGCATCCTGGATGCTGCGCTTGTACCACGAAATTTTCGCTGTGCGCCTTGCGTTCGGAAAGAGAAGGCTGTCCTTTTACGTGTGCGCTGCAAAAATTTTCGCTGTGCGCCTTGCGTTCGGAAAGAGAAGGCTGTCCTTTTACGTGTGCACTGCACACCCGCATGTGATCCCCCAGGGCTCGTTCTACTTCAGCCGCGGCTTCTCCAGCATTATTAGGTTTGCTTTCTTTGACTGACAGTGACTATGGCCCATTCTGGCCCTGTTCGTGACCATACCCTATGATTAGCCCATAATAGACTCCACTCGCTGTGGGTTCTCTTGTTTGTTGGTGCGACGCCTCCAATGGTGCAACTTGCCCAGAGTACCTCAAGGGAGGAACAGTCTTGCCATGAGGAGTCGCAGAGGCTTTTTTTAAATGTAGCCTTGCCTGGCAACTGCAGTCTGCGCACCTCAACAAGACTGTTCCGTGCTTCAAATATTTTCTGGACCGTCAACATCATCATCGTTGCCCGCGCGACCATGGAGCTGTCGCGGTGGGCATGGCGGCGCAATTTTTTCTGACGTGTCTACACCCGGCCTTGCGGGAGTGCTCGTGGTTGGTTGGTCGCCGAGTGAGTGTGATCCAGCCCTGGACGCTGTGCGAAGGAACGGTGGCAACCAATTTATGAAGGATGAAAGTGGCCGCGTTCGTTTTCATCGAAGTCTATCCGAGCCCGCCGCTGCCAGAACAGTTGGCCTGGTTTGCTCTCTTCTCTGGCAAGGGGTGGCAGCATCCCTGACAATGATTTGATCCATGGTTGAAGGCAAAGAGCGCTTCACGCGTAGCCAAGATTGACTGCGATCAGCAAAAGGTGGTCCGCTGCTTCAACAACTCGTGGATGCGGCCGTGCTTGAGGACTCGGGCCAGCTCTTGGACACGTCACGTTTTGTTGCCAACGTTGGCACCGTGGTGAGCAAGTTGGTGAGAAATGCCTTTGCGCGCGGCAAGATGCACAAGTGGACTTGGAAGCGGGCGTCGGCCCTGCAACCCGATGGTGAAGGGAACTTTGAGCGCAATTCCCTGCCGAGTTTGCAATCTGATATGCTCTTGCAGGAGGTTTTCGGCAACAGAAAAAGCGGGTTCATGTGGGGAAGGGGCCTAGAAAGGTGTTTCGAATTTTTGGTGCGGGGTTTCCTAAACCATCGGTTAGTTCATCAACATTTTTTCTTACTCACTTCTGTTGTGTGCTTGGCCTTGTGCTTGACCATCCCCATGCCCAGGTTGGCAGCCTTACTTCCCGAGCGAGCCTGGGTGATAAAAAACTATCTGGGCGTGCGTTAAAGTGATTCACACGTGGAACTAGTGACCGGTGAAGGGACAGGGGCCGAAAAAGACGTATTCCGATCATCTTCTGCCGTGCCCCACCAGCCGTCCAACAATTTCATGTTATATGTGCCATATTTTGTGTTGTTTTGGCTGCGCCCTTTTCCTCAGGAAGCGGGAGCTAGAGTCACCCAAGTTCATCCGGGCGTTGCAGAGCCTGTTTGACTTGACGACACGACAGGTCAGGGGACGAAACATTTTCGAAGATGGTTGCAGTTCAAACCTGCTTTTGAGTATGCTCAGTATGCTGTATAAAGGGGTGCCTAAGGGGCAGTGGACTTGACGCATCCCTTAGGTGATTACCAGGGACAGGCAAGGGAAACTCCCGTGTGAAACCCAGAGCGAAAGCTTGCAACGCTTGATGACGGAAGTTCAAGAGAGATGTTGAAAAAACAGGGGACAAATTCCAAAATTGAAAAAACAAGAATGGGCTGTGCAACAGTTTGCTTCGCTGAGGACCAGGCTCAAGGCTGGGAGTTGAGAACTTTTGGTATGAACATTGAATTCAATCTGAGTGTTTAAGTTTTAGGTCTTTAGTTTGATTCAACCTTCTGAGTGTTTAGGTCTTTTGTTCCTTGATTTTTCGTTGTCGTCATTTTATTGTGGTGCGTCTCGGGATGAAATAATCAACGCCGCATGTTTTGGTGGAGGTTGTTCTCCGTTGTCCTTAATTTGGATGTCAGTGTTCTGGATTTCTTGCAGGCAGGCGTTGAAAACATGTTTTTATCCAACCGTTGTACATTTTTTCGGAATCGTTCCATGTAGGACATATAGGCGGCAAAGGATGCAGAGGTTTCTCAAACAACAATCTGAAAAACATTTGTTTTTTTGGGGGCAAGGTTCTGCAATGCTCTTTGCCGTTGCTTTCTTCTTTCGTCTTTTGCTCTGGACCCCAGATTCTGCATTGTCTAAATCAGGATGGATCACCAGGCTCCTGGACAGAAACCAAGAGAAAGACAGCTATAGATACAATCCATGCGCATGAGATTTGTCGACTCCAATTTTATGGAACGTCACAAGGTATTTTTGTTTTACTTTGGCCAAAGGCATCATTTTCTGCAATTTTCTCATTGGACAAAGGTCACACTTCGATATATAATTTCCAGTACTGAGATCTCCAAACAAGAACAATGTGCAACCGTGGTACCTTTGAATATTAAAAATATTGACTTTGATGTCAGACCTCTGAATTTTATCAATTCCCGATACTGAGGTTTTTTGCGCTTCTTGAAGTGTGTTTTAGATTCAGAGCATGAATTTTATCATGATCTAGTGGGAATAAGGGCGGGGCTTAAGTATCCAAGCACAGACCCTAGCTTGTAGGTCTCAGTGCAACCATACTGCTACGCGAGTTTTGGAGAACCGACTTCGCTACGTGTCACCGCCCAGTTTTGCTGAACCGACTTAGTGATTCACTAGCTTCTTGTTTCTAATAGCTTCTTGTTACTACTAGTAAGGCCCTTGCTTCTAGTAGCGGTGCACTTGCTCCTAGTAGCTAATTGTTTTTGCTTTGAAAGCATGAACCGAACCTCTCTACTGTTTATTTGTGATTGTGAATGTGAGGGCGATCGTGAAGGTCCCCTGGTGTAGCTTCTTAGCCAGTAGAGCCGCCCCCCCCGACCGAGATAGGTTGACCGTCTTTTTAGGAGGGCAGTTAGGTTGAGTAACAAGAAGCTAGTAGTAACAAGTGCATCGCTTCTAGTAACAAGTGCCTTACTAGTAGTAACTAAGAAGCTAGTAGGTGATGTTTTGTTATTTTATCGCTTCTCCGTCAAGGTGGTCAAAGCCAAGAGGTCGGTGAATCTGGACGCTTATCGGGTCGCTTGGTGCAGAGTTCGTCCGACGTTCGTTTCGGGTGTGATGCGATCGGAAAGAATGAGTACGTCAGTAGGTTGGAGGCCATCGCTTCTAGAAGCAAGGACGCTACGAACGGGGCTTCAAGAAGCTATTAGAAACAAGAAGCTAGTAGTAACAAGTGCCACGCTACTAGTAACAGGTGCCTTACTAGTAGAAACAGCGTGTTGGACGGATTCTTGCTTTCTGCTTCGAGGCTTACTTCGCACGCCGCACGGAGATTGAAACCTCCATGGCACGCCATCCACCTGGAGTCCGATTGGATGATTGTCTGACGACAGGTGCGAAAGCTTGGAAGATGAAAGAGAGAGCTCAAAAGGTGTAAGGTCAAAACGGAAAGACAAAAAGAAGTCAAAGCTCTAAAGCACAAAAGAGAAAGAGATACGTAGAGAGAGAGAGAGAGAGAGGGAGAGGGAGGGAGGGAGTGAGTGAGTGAGTGAGTGAGAATGAGCATTGGTTCACTGAATCCCTCTAAGCTGCCTGGGTCTTTCAGAGGGCCAAGCTGTGCCAGCCTCTTCCACTCAGCGGAATACGCCCAAAGATCAACGTGCCAGTGGGGTTAGCGGGGCTTGCCTGTCTGCGAAATATGGTCCCCGACCATATTCCATAGCGATGTTCACCTGAGCCTCCAACCTACTTGCGTCCTTGCTCCTAATAGCGATGCCCTTTGTTACTAGCGTTCTTGTTACTACTAGTAAGGCACCTGTTACTACTAGCGTGGCACCTGTTACTAGTAGCGTGGCACTTGTTACTAGTAAGGCCAGGAGCCCCGTTCGTAGCGTCCTCTTGCTCCTAGCGGTCCTAGCCCGTCTCCGACCGGTCTTCGGGCTTCCGACACAAGGCCCCTCCGGCTGCTACCTCACGAAGGAGCTTCGGGCTCTTCAAGGCCAGTGTGACGGATGTGAGACTGACATGAAGCTTTGCCACTTGGATTTCCTGTTTGCTTCTCCGCATTTGGTGTATAATTTATATACATCTACTGTATGTGATTCTATATGTATTTCCCCGTTGCATTTTTTTTCAGTTTTTTGTTTGTCGCGTGTTTATTTTTTTTGGTTTCAGTCTTTTTACACGTGTTGTTGTTTTGCAATTTGCATCATCCCTGCCGTTGCCGCATGGTTCGTTTGTTGCCGATTCTCTGCTTTGCTCTGTGCTTTCCTCTGTCATTTTGCATTGCCCTACTTGTTTGAGAATGCAAGCTAGAGCAGCTAGAGCAAGCCAGAGAACAAGTGAGCAAGCAAGCAGAATGCAAGCACGGTCAGCGGAGGAGAAAGGCAAAGAAGGAACAAGAATCGGAGTTGTGCCCTTCCCAACCCTCAGCGAAGCCAAGCACAACGGACAGAGTTGAAGTGCGGAAGGGAGAGAAAGGAAGAAGAAACGCCATTGCTAGTTGGAGACCATCGCTAGTAGGTGGGAGGCCATCGCTAGTTGGTTGGAGGCCATCACTAGGCCATCGCTTGTAGGTTGGAGGCCATCGCTTGTAGGTTGGAGGCCATTGCTAGTTGGAGGCCATCGCTAGTAGGTGGG